CCTCCAGTGCTGCACGCCCCCGGCAATGGCTCCCAGAGTGGAGCCTTTTTGCGAGCTTCCTGTATGCTGCATCCTGTATCACCCTCCCTCCTCCCCCGTCCAATCTTCATTTCCTCCTCGCTCGTCCTCCTCCTCCTCCTCCTCCTCCTCCTTCTGCTCCTCCTCCTCTTCCTCCTCCTCCTCCTCCTCCTCAATCATCCCCGTTGCATTCCTCGTGCGTTCTCCTCCTCCTCTTCCTCCTCCTCCTCCTCCTCCTCCTCCTCCTCACCTGCCTCCCCGTTCTATTCCTCAACCGTTCTCCTCCTCCTCTTCCTCCTCCTCCTCCTCCGCCTTCTCGTCCGCGTCGTCGTCCTCCTCCTCCTCCTCCTCATCTTCCTCATTCTCCTCCTATTCCTCCTTCCTCCTCCTCCTCCTCTTGCTTCTCCCCTCCTTCTCCTCCTCCTCCTCCACTTCCTCCTTCCTCCTCCTCCTCCTCCTCCTCCTCCTCCTCCCCTCCTCCTCCTCCTCCTCCCCCCTCCCTCCCCCTTCCTTCCTTCCTCCCTTCCTCCTCCCCCCCTCCTCCTTCTCATCCTTCTCCTTCCCCTCATCCTCCTCCCCCTCCTCCTCCTCCTCCTCCTCCTCCTCCTCCTCCTCCTCCTCATCCCTTGCCCTCGCCCCCTGTTTGGATCTGTCCTCGTACTCCTCCTCCCTCCTCCTCCTCCTCCTCCTCCTCCTCCTTCCTCCTCCTCCTCCTCCTCTCCTCCTCCTCCTCCTCCTCCTCCTCCTCCTCCTCCTCCTCCTCCTCCTCCTCCTCCTCCTTTTCGCTCGTCATCGCTCCTCCTCCTCCGCCTCCTCCTCCTCGCTCCTCCTCCTTCTCGTTCCTCCTCCACCTCCTCTTTTTCCTCCTCCTCCTCTTTCTCCTCCTCTTTCTCCTCCTCCTCCTTGTCCACCTCCTCCCGCTCTTCCACCCTCCTCCGGATCACCCAGGCGCCGCCTTTGGCGAACGCCTGTGTGGACAAAACAACGCCGGCGCAGGCGGCGCAGAGGAAACAAAATGCGAAAATTGCAAGCAGGGGCGACCGGCCAGGAGGCAGTGGGGGGGGGCGGAGGGCGGTCGTCAAGTCGTCGTGGGCGTAGTCGTGCTGGCGTAGGTCGTGCTGGTGGTTGTGGTCGTGCTGGTAGTGGTCGAGCTGGTGGTAGTCGCGCTGGTGGTGGTCGTCCCGCTGTGGGCGCTGGGGTGCTAGCCCGCGGCGATCGTGGCCGAAGCCGCTGTACTGGCCGCGGTAGTGGTCGTGCTAGTGGTCGTGTTGGTGGTCGTGCTGATACTCATGGTGGTCGACGGTCAAGGGATCGTGATGGTCGTGGGAGACCTGGAGGTCACAATGGTCGTGGCAGGCGCCCATGCAGTGGTCGAGGCGGCGGTCGTGCAGGTGGTGGTCGTGCTGGTGATAATCGTGTGGCGGTGGTGGTCGTAGCGGGCGTGGTGGCGGTCGGCGGTGGCTTACTGCCCCAGCGCGCTCAGGAGCATCTCTGCGCTCCCCGTGTGGAGCGTCACGGAGATTTCGCGCCCGAGCCTGCTCAGGAGCGCTGAGCGCTCCTCGACACCCAAGCCGCCCCCGTAGCTCCGCACGAAGGCGGCCGCCCACAGCCTCGGCGACCATGGGGACAAACTCCAAGCCAGGCCTCGGGGGGTACTGGGCCCGCTTGTCCTCGACCATCTGCGCCGCCGTAAGGTCACTCCTGCGGGACCGGGCTTTCCTGTGCGGGGCATAGGTCGAGTATGCGCACGTCACGGCCCAGTCCACGTGAATGTGGCGCCCGGTGTTGTGGTCGACTCTGGCAACGTCGAGAACGACCTCCTGCAGGCGTTCGTCGGTGAGGCAGCGATCCTAAGCGGCAGCCCGCAGTTCGGTCTCGGCCGCGTGTCCGGTGAGCTCAGCAGGGCGCCTGGCGTGACAGTCCCGAGGGCGATTATGCCTGCGCGTCATGGAACCCCGACATCGCAAACCCTCGCGTGCCAGCCCTTCCTGTCCCCAGCGCCCCTGCCGTTTGTTGTGCGGCTCCCGCATGTAGTCCAGCAGCCGCAGCGTCTCGTCCCTCAGCGCTCCAGAGGCCTGGAGCGCCCGCTCCGCCTGGGCAAGAGCCCAGGGGGGGCGCGGGCAGCGTTCGAACGCTGAACTCCTCCCGGGTGCTGACTCCCAAGCAGGCCGCCACGTCGTGAAAGCAGAGGGCCCAGCTAGCTGCGTAGGCGGTGGGAACGGTCTGGGCGGCGGAAGGGAAAGCGCAATCCACGCCCGGGAGGCGCAGTGTAGCCCGCAAGCGCTGCGTGCCCCCCAACGGCTCGTCCAGCGGAGTCTCAAGCGCAGCGAGCAGAAATTTGTCGAGTTCCTCGACCCACCTGGGCTGCAGGTTCGCACGGAGGCGATGCGTGGCACATCCCTGCCTTTAGTTGCAGACGGTGTCGGCGGCCTCGGCAGAAAGGCTGGCGGCTCGCAGCTCCCGGAGGCGAGCGGTGAAGGCCCGCGCGCGGCTTACTGCGGCAGCCTCGGGTCGTTGAAGAAATGGAGCTCACGCCCTAGCGCCGCGCACGCTCGTGATAAAAACTTGCAGCTGGTACAAGGGTGGAGGGCGGCACGTTCTCAAAAAGCGGCTCTCGCATGAAGGCTCAGCGCCGCACGCATTCGTTCAAAAACTCCCACAACTACAGAGATGGAGGCTGGTACGCTTTCGAAATGAGGTTCTCGCTGGAGACTTCATCAAGCACGATTTCCAAAACTCCGAACTGTTCCACACCTGCACAGGGACCGAATTTCCAAAATTCGAATTCCAAATTTCCAATTTCCAAAATTCCGAATGAGGTTTTCGCTCGCGACTTGTGTGACCCTACCTCTGGCATGGTGCAACACCCACACGGACGGAGGGCAGACCTCTCTTAGCACGGGGGCTGCCGCTGGACACCCCCGAATTTGTCTTTTTTCCCGTCCGTTCACGCTGACTTCGGCACGTTTGCTTGTGAAGGCGGTCGCCTCGATGGGCGAGCAGTGCTGTGCCCCGGGGCGTTCGGGCTCGGCACCCCTGCGATCGGGAGCGCCCATCTGCCACGAGGCGTGCCAAGGGCGCGGTCAGGCAGCGCCTCCAGTGGCTGCACACTGCCGAGCTCGATCCTCCTCTTTTTTCTGTGGCCCGACTGGCGCTGACCCAGCGTGACGCAGCAGGAAACCACGCCCATAGCGCCGAGGCGCCGGGCCCGAACCCGATCATCCTAAGATCCTACATCTCTGCGTCTCGTTAACCTGCACGGGTGGAGACTCGCCAAACGGGGCCTCGCCTGAGTGGCCGGCCCACCGGTCGCTCGTCTTTCGGGGAGTGCGCGGGCTGTGCGGGCCCAGGGCGGTCACGAGCGCTCCGAGACGTGCTGCTGAGTTTCTCCAGGTCCTGCGCTGACTTGAAGCGGTCGGACGCTCGGCAGGACCAGGATGAGATCGCTCCTGCTTCCAGGGCCGCTCGGGCCTCCTCTCTGGCGACGGCGGACCACAACGAGCGCAATCTGGTCAAACGGAGGGGGCGCCTTCGGTGCACCTCCTGCGGGCCAGCCAGACAAACGGTCTGCGGGGCCTGCGCCATGAGATGTGGAGGCCCACCCAGCGGAGCCTGGCCCACCTGTCGTGCCGCATCTGTGCCTCTCGCCGCGAGACTCGGGCGCTTCAGGTTTGGCAAGGATGTCAGGGCCCGCGTGCGCCCCGCGCCAATCGTTTCCGAAGGCTCCGATATCCCGCAAAAGGGTGCAACACGAACGGGAGCCCTCTCAACGTGCGCCCCGTGCCCCTTGGCATCGGGGGGGGTAGCGCTGTGGTGCCCCTAGCGAGGCGGGTGCGGGGGCCAGTCTTCCGTCCGACGGCTGCAGTATGTGTGCGCGGTCGTCTTGTGGACACGTCCCATGCCGTGGTTTTCTGGCCTGAGGCTGACGTGTGTGGTGTTTGACGTATGGAGCGTATTCTACACAGCACTTGCGTGATCTCGGGAATGTTTGTACGGGCCGCCTCGAGAAGGCGAGGGCACAACATCTCGCCAGGATTTCCCTGGGCAAGGTCCCTGGCAGTCTTGTTTGGGGGAAGGAGAGGGCTAGAGCGAGAGAGGGGGGGGGAGAGAGAGAGAGAGAGAGAGAGAGAGAAAGAGAAAGAGAGAGAGAGAGAGAGAGAGAGCGGCGAGCGCGGCCCCGCGCGCGCGGCGCGTGGCGCCGTTCGGGGACGTCGCGGTCGCGGCCGACCACGCGGGGGCCGTGGCCGCCATCAGGCGCCGCCCTGTTTCTCTCCCCCTACCCGCGCGCCCTCCTCCGCCTCCTGTCGTCCCCCCGTCAACCTAGGAGGCATAGGCTGCCTCCTAGGTTGGGCCTTTTCCTTTGTCGTTGATCATCGAGATCGCTCGCTGCATATACATCTATACATATATATATATATATATATATATATATATATATATATATACTCCCTCCTCCCTCCCTCCCGCCATCCCTCCCTCCGTCCTTCTCTCCCTCCCTCCCTCCCTCCCTCCCTTTCCTCCTCCTCCTCCGCCTCCTCTGCGCGCGCGCGCCCGCGAGCGCCCCACCCCATCCCCCCGTTTGCACTCCCGCGCGCGGCCGCGGGTATGAGGAGGAGGAGCGGCAGCAGGCAAAAAGGGCGGAGCAAGAGGACCTCTGGAGCTTCGTGGCCCAGTACGGAGGTGTGCACGAGGGCAGAGGCAGAGGGGGCGAAGCGAAGCGAAGTGAGGCGAAGCGAGCCATCCGGAGGCGGCCCATGGCTGGGCGACGGGCGCGCCGCGAGGCAGAGGCACAGGCAGAGGGAGGGAGAGCGGAAGGGGGGAGGAGGAAGGAGGAGGCAGGGAAGAGGAAGGAGGACGGAGGAAGGAGACCCGCGTACAGAACGGGGGAAGGGAGGAGGAGGACGAGGAGGAGGAGGAGGAAGAGGAGGAGGAGGAGGAGGCGGAAGAGGAGGAAGAGGAGGAAGAGGTCGGGGACCGACGTTTTGGGGACTTCGAAGGCCCGACCGTCCGGGGCCCTGGCGGTACCCGCCGGGCGCGCGCGGTGCGGCTGGAGCTCACGCGGCCCCAACGCCGGGAGCGCCAGACCTCGGCCGCATCCTCGCGCCTGCCTCCTGCCTCCTCCCTCCATTCGCTTCGCGACTGGTCTCGCTCACTCACTCCCTCCCCTCCTCCTCCGCTTCCTCCTCCTCAGTATCATCATCGTAATATTACTCATAACACTATGCTTATTAATCGAATTTTTCTTCTTGGTAAGCAAAATGGTATCAGCGCGATTCTTCATGCTATTACTATTGTTAGTACGATCATCAGTAGCAGTAGTAGTAGTAGTAGTAGTAGTAGTAGTAGTAGTAGTAGTAGTAGTAGTAGTAGTAGTAGTAGTAGTAGTAGTAGTAGTAGTAGGTAGTAGTAGTAGTAGTAGTAGTAGTAGTAGTAGTAGTAGTAGTAGTAGTAGTAGTAGTAGTAGTAGTAGTAGTAGTAGTAGTAGTAGTAGTAGTAGTAGTAGTAGTAGTAGTAGTAGTAGTAGTAGTAGTAGTAGTAGTAGTAGTAGTAGTAGTAGTAGTAGTAGTAGTAGTAGTAGTAGTAGTAGTAGTAGTAGTAGTAGTAGTAGTAGTAGTAGTAGTAGTAGTAGTAATACAAATAGTAGTACACATACTAATCCCCTAACCCCCTAACCCGAACCCTAACCCTAACCCTCCTCTGACCCTAACGGTAGCACCCTAACAGGACCCCCCGAATCCGAACCCTAACCCGAACCCCCCCAAACCTATCACCCTACCTCAAACCCCCTGACGCCCTAGCCCTAACCCAAACCCTGGCATCCTAACACCCTAACATCCTAACCCTACCACCTGACCCAGACCCCCCGACACTATCCCTATCACCCTAACCTGAACCCCACCTACCACCCAAACCCTAACCCCCATAACACTAGCCCTAACCCGAACACCCTAATCCTAACCCCAGTTAACCCTAACCCTAACACACTAACCACAACCCCTGACCATAACTCGAAATCTGCCCCCCTGACCCAACCACCGTAACCCTAACCCTAACCCTAACCCTAACACCTTACCCCGAACCCCGATTCTAAACCTACCACTCTAACCCTAACCCCCTAACCCGAACCCACAGCTGAACACCCTAACCCTAACCCTACCACTGTAACCCTAAACCTCTAACCCTAACCCAAAACTGAACACCCTAACCCTAACCCAACCACCCTAACCGTAACCCCCTAACCCCCTAACCCTGACCCTAACACCCGAACCCTAACGCCCTAACCCTACACCAGAACCCCAACACTCTAACCCTAACCATAACCCTAACCCGACCCCACTAACCCTAACCCCCTACCCCTAAACCCTACCCGAACACCCTAGCCCACGAAACTAATACTAACCTCCTAACCCGAACCCTACCACCCTAAGCCGAACCCCCTAACCCGAACCCTAACCCGAACCCTCTAACCCTAACCCTAACACCAGAACCCGAACCTTCACCCGCCCAAACCTATCACCCTGGCCCTAACCCTAACACCAGAACCCTAAGTCTCACCCCCTAACCCTAGCCCTACCACCCTAACCAAAACCCCTGACCCTGACCATAACCATACCCTCCTAACCCTACCACCCTAACCCTAACCCCTTAACCCTTACCCCAACACCCCAACACCCCAACACTCCAACACACTAACCCTAGCACCCTAACCCTAGCCCTAACCCCCTAACCCTAATCCTGACCCTGCCCCTAACCCTATCACCCAAATCCGAACCCCCTAACTCTAACCCGAACACCCTAATTCTAACGCCCTAGACCTAGCACCCTGACCCTAACACTCGCACCCCAACCCAACCACCCTAACCCTGACACCCTGACCCCCACTATCTCCGGCGCCCTGACACCCTGACCCCCACTATCTCCGGCGCATTACAGGGAAGCGGGAGGCACTCCCCCCGGCCCCATGTCGGGGAGGTCCGACCCTTCCCCCCCCCCCTTCGCGTTGAAAGGAGGGGGGCGGGTCCGACATCCTCCCGCCCCCCCCCTCCGGCGCAAAGGGAGGGAGGGGGGCGGGGGGTCCGAAACGCCCACCCCCTTTGAAAGGGGGAAAGGGGGGGTCCGAAAACACTGCCCCCTTGAAGGGGGGGGGGGCTCTGGTTGGCACACGACCCCTTTACAATTACAGGGGCATCCAGTGACGCGCTTTCCCTCAAAAACTATGCTCCTGAAGCTTGAAATTCTCAACAGTTTCAAGGATGGAGGGCGGGCCGTATTTAGAATGGAGTTCTCGCCTCAGCGCCGCGCACATTCTTCGACAAAGTTTGCGCAACCGTTCCAAAGATTCGTATGGTTGAGTTCCAAGGAGATGGGGCCCAAAAACATACACAACCGCCTTCCTCCTCCCTCTCCCTTTCCCTGGAAAGAGGAGAGGCAGCAGAGGCTGGAGGATGGGAGGGGGGATGAAGGTGGTGGTAATGTATATTCTTGGCGCCCCCGCGACCCCTGCGATCTCGGCTCCCCCGCGGACCCCCCGGCATCCCGGCGGATCAGCTCCGCCAGCTCGGCGTGGAGGGCCTCCCGCGTCGTCGTCGCCGCCGCCGCGTCGACGACATCGACGACGACGAGAACGACGCCGACGGCGACGGCGACGGCGACGGCGACGGCGACGACGACGATCACGACGACGACGACGACGACGACGACGACGACGACGATGACGATGGCGGCGGCGGCAACGAAGTCGACGACGGCTTCGTCGACGACGACGCTCGGCATGGAGGGCCTCCTTCCCAAGGGGGGCCAACATCCCTCCGACTTCCTCCAGGCACTGCTCGGGGCTCTTCCGGTGGGCGGCTCGCAGGGCAGCGGGCGGGGCTCCAGCGCCCAGACGCGGGGCGGAGTGCGCCGTGCACCCGGGCAGCGGTCCTCCACGCCTGCCCCCAGGGCCACCTGCGGGCCCTGGGGCGGGACGAGAAACTGCCCCTGGCGACCTGTGGCGGGGCATTTTGCAGTGCGCGCACGTGCGCGGGCAAATTCATCAGATTCGCCCGCAGAGGAGCGGTCTGGAATTATGTACGTACATTGTTATATATACAGACATGTATATATAGAAATATGTTAAGGGTGGTGTGTATGTATGTTCTATGCCTATGTCAATATAAATATAATACATAGGTCATACTTATCGTATGCGTGAGAGAGAGAGAGTAAATGCGTGCGCCGATGGACATCTACATGTACATGTATCGGATGACTCGAGCTGCCTTTCAGGGAACCTTGCAGACTGAAACATCAATCCGTCCACTGGTGCCCGCGGATTGAAGCAATCGATCCGTCGGATGTCTGGAAGCTTGGCGTGCTTCGCCTTTTTGGGGAACCTCCTGGAAGGCCCTCGTGGCCGCGGCTGGACGCAGCTCGAAAAACTGGCCAGGAGAGATCCTGGGAAGGGTCTTGGGGCTCAGCGTGAGCGACAGCTGGTGGAGGGCGCCGCCTTCTGAGAAGCCGTCCCTCCAGCAGGCCGGTGCCTCCCCAGCCCTCCCGGAGGCCTAAACAGCCCCTGGAAGTGGATGGAAGAAAAAACACATCAGCCTGCGGCTGGCTCCAAGACAGACGAACATCCTCCAAGAACATCTGGCCCTCGGCAGGCCAAACCGAAGAGCACTCGAGGGTGCCCTCCCCCGGGATGCACGAGAACGTGGGGCAGACACGAAGAACACGAGGGCACCTTCCCCGGGCCGACCTTGACCTTCTACCTCGCTCCGACCGTGACTGTCGGAGGTCCGCGCGCATTTCTTGGGGTCGGCGCTGGACCCCCCCCAGGAGGAGGAGGAGGAGGAGGAGGAGGAGGAGGAGGAGGAGGAGGACTAAATGACTAAATGACTGCAAGAGTACCTTGTCACATGAATGCTTGACAGCACGGGCGCGCGCGCGCCCGCCTGGAACTGGTCGAGCAGCGAGTGGCCGCCGCTCTATCGGGATGGGGTTGTGCCTCGGGCAGCCTCCTCCTTTGCCTTGATTCGGGCATGCAATGCTGCCATACGAACCTCGTAGGACAGGACAGAATCGGGATTCGAACGAGAGACGCTAGTGGAACTCGAAGAGGGCTGGGCACTGTCGAGGGCGACTCTCTGGAGGGGCGCGACGGAATCGATGCGTCTGGCCAGCCGCTTATGCGGACCGACTCCCCTCCTGAGATTTCGCAGCACTTCTTCACCCTTAGACGTAGGCTTCACGCAAGAGGAGCGAAGCTTGTCTTTACGGCGCTGCTGAGCCCAGGCCCCACACAAATAACAAACAAAAGCTGGAGCTGTGCATGCAGGCCCCGCGCAGCTCCAGCTGGACACGCTCCCCTGGGAAACAGCAACCAACTGGTGGCCCAGGGGATTTTGCCTGAAATCTCGCAAAAACTTGGGCAACCCTCTGCAGCCCAGCATGGGCTTGTCACGTCCAGGCTCCAAAACACTGAGACAATTCCTACACTGAGTGCCGATAGAGGTTCTGCACCAGTCATGCCAGTTGTCTTTCATAGTGTGCCTCGACCGCTCGAACACAGGGAGCCTGGAAAACCTCTCCTCAAGCTCGAAACGCGGGAGAACGTGGGCACACAACTTCACAAAGTGATTGGCCTGGGTGCAAGCTTCCTCTACTCTCACAAGGAACTCAGGAGAAGCAGATGGGTGCAAGAGCGCAGCTTTTTTGGCGAACACATCGGCGACCACGCTGGCGTCCGTGATCCGCCTATCCTCGTCCGAGAGCGCCTGGTACTGCTCGCCAGACTTGTGGGCCTTGACGTGGCGGACGCTCTGGATGTTGCCGTAGCCGCGCATCTGGTGGCCGAAGAACTGCACGCACGAGTACATTGACTTGGCCTGCAACTGTTCCTGCTTCGACTTCAGCACCGCCTTCACCGCTGCCATAAAATCTGCATATACCGTGGACGGTCGGTCGGCGATCTGCCCAACGAAAGCCATGCTCAGGAACTCCGCCATCGCTGACGACTGGGGCATGGCTCTGGGGACCGCGCCGTACATGACTGCAACTGGTGTGTCAGCCGTCGGGTTCAACAGCACCACAGCCCACCCAGCTCTCTGAAGAGTGACCAGTGAAGGCTTGCTGCAGGATCCATCAACTGCGAATTCCAACCTGTCTCCTTGTACAAGTTGCTCGGCTAATTGCTCAGGTTCAGCATCAAAATCTTCGCCCTCAGGAGTGACTAAATGCGCCTCAACACCTGGATCGAGCTCAGGGATGTCGCTGTCCTCGTAGATGAAGCAGCCCTGGGTGAAGCATCTCTCATCTGGATGATCAAAACCAGCTTGGATAAAAGATGCTGGCACCTCGGATCCGGCTCTAGCTGCAATCACCTCTGGCAAGGAACAAACAAACAGCCTGTGGTGAACCGTATCTGCTGCTCTACACTTGCAGCGACCATCAGTTTGGTATCCTCTGAGACGTGCTCGCTCCTTGGTCCAATGGCCTTCCACCGCCGAGGTACGAACAAGAAATTTCTGATGCTTATTGAGACGACGGCTCTTGGGCCGAACTGCTGCACGAACCAAATCACATGAAACGCGAGATCCTGGAGGCGCTCCCCATTTGTCTGCCAGGGTCATCTCAAGTTTACGCTGCATGGCTTTGCCCATGAGATCCTCGAGAACGCCTGGCGTGAGTTGCTCCAGGGGTATGTCAGCGCCTCGGTGATCTTTCCAAACTGTACTTGACTGAACTGACCAACCAACTCTGCGTACACACAGTGCTGCGCGAACCAGGTGACCTCTCGTTTGCTTCCATTCCAGTGCTGCAACATCAAGGTGGAGTAAGGCCTTGTCCCACCATGACTTGAGCACCTGCAAGGATACAACTGCTATGTCTCGCTGCGATACTGCCATCCAGACCATTCGACTCCATTGCAACGCTGGTGCCACAGCCTGACGCAATGCGGGGTCGCCGTCTAATACCAGCTTTGCTGTGATCGAAACGCCTCCGTGGAATGGTTTGACCTGCCTGCAGTAATCACGCCGCAGCTGCAATAACTCAGCGTTGTCAAGTCCCAATATCTCCACTCCGTAAGTTAGCGCTGGCCTGGCGCCAGCGCGAAAAAACTTTGCCAATCCTTTGTTCTTTAAGCTCAGGCAAGGCTCTCTTGTACCGTCTCAGCTTGAGAAGACGCAGACGGTGCTTGGCCTTGCGCTTGGACATCTTCGCTCGGGATCTCGGTGCCGCACGAACTCTGCCTGCTGCCTGATCCGCGCCAAGGTAGGTGGTCGATGTGACAGCCTTGTCTGCCGAAAAACCGAGCTTGATGGCAACTTCCTCGGCCAGAGCTCTCGTGTTGGCGAGGACTGCGAACTTCTCATTGATTGTGGCTCCAAGTGCAGCGGCCGTCTCCAAGAAACCTTTGCCAGCTTCGACCGCGAGGGAGATGACTGCGGACCTGTCAGCACTTTCGACACCCACGCTCGAGTCGTCTATATAGCTGGCGAAGTCGACTAAGGGATGGAGCGCCACATAATAATCGCACTGCTCGACTGCGTGCACTTTGATGGTTGATTGCCGTGATGCTGCAGCAGTCGGATCAGTCTTGGCGCGCGCCAGGTGTTGTAGGTGAGCTTGACTGATGCCGTAGCTGCTCCGAAGCGAATAAACTTCTGCCGCAACTGCTTCAACTCGATGGTCTCGTAATACTTCGAATAATCTGCTATGAGCGTGACAGAAAACCGATCTGAGGCTGTGCTGGCTTCTGTGCGAGCTGCTAGCTTCCATGCACTGTCGATTGGACTACGGCCTTTGCCAGCGCCCCAGTATTTCCTGTCCAACACCTTCATCAACTCATCATATTCGCATCTTCTCATCCTTAAACGCGGTAGGCCGACGCGTACAAGATAATGAGACGGTGGCCTCCCTGAGGCTTTGGCAACATAGGCATGATAATCCATACCAATTGCTTGGGAAGCATCCCAAGTGATTCCATGGCTTCGTACAAAACTGCCAGCACTCTCAATGCATCGTCACTAAGATGCAACAGGTGTCGAGGATGAAGTCCGTCGGGGCCCGCTGACGTGGTGCTTGGAAAAGTGCGAGCGGCTCTGCGGATGTCCTCAGGTTCCGCTCGTCGATGAGAGCTTCTGTCGGGAATCCAAGCTCTAGGGGCATCCGTGGAGCTTCGCCATATCGGTTTGTATTCAGCTTCCATGGCAGCAACAACATCATGAGGATGAGCTGAATACTTCCCAGCGCTAGTTATAACTGTGGTGGGAGCCTGTACTTGTCGGACTGGTGTCAGTCTGTGAAGGCCTCGAAGTCCTCCAGCGCTGGCTTGACGACGCCAATCTTTCCATCTCGCTTTACTGTCTCTGTCGGCTTCCTGAAAGGCTTGGTCAACATCATCCTTCCATTCGTCTTGCAACTCACGTATGGCGCCTGCATGAAAGTGACCGCTGGCGACTCGACGTGCTTGCTCGACACTGGCGCCCAACCTGCGGTTTAGGCCTTGCCCAGGGTAAGCGGAAGACTGCAGAATGAGAACCTCGTCCTGCAACTTGTTAATCTCCTCGGGCTGCCGGCTTTCGCGCAATTGAGCAATTGTTGTCATCATATCAGAAAGCCATTTCCATCCGTCTGCACGCGCTTGGATACCAGGAACGTCCTTCACCCCATAGTGGATGTCCACCCATCTTGGCTGTAGGAATTTGGAGTATGCGCCGTAATCTTTGACCTCTGTGCCAGTAATATGAGCAATACGACGGGCTGCTTGCTCAGCGAACTGACCCCATGCCAACAGGCTGCATCTGGCCGTGCTTCTTTAGCTAGAACCAAAGCCTCGTCAGCGTACCTGGCAGCCCGACTCCAGGGATCATCTGGCAAGTGAGGGCCTTCAGGGATGACTGGTGACAACTTCGGCGCCGCGCCGTAGGTCAAGACTTGCAAGGACTTGCCTGCTGCCGCCATGTGCAGGTGAACTGGCCTGTGCGGCTTGATGCGCCACTCGGCGTCCACCGTGACGGAACGAAAAAGGAGCATGGCGGCCTCGATCAGTGCGAAGTAGTCGATCGTAGATGCTGAAGTTG